ACTTTGAGAGTGGTCTTGTGTTGGATGTCATAGTATACACCAGGAGAAACACACTCGATGATGACAGACGGATGTTGAGCATTTCCGGTGATGTTGTTTGCAGAATGATGGAACCATGCTTTGGCAAGAGCGATACAATGTACACAGACAACTGGTATACAAGCCCTATGCTCGATGATTTCCTACGTGTGAACAATACTGATACATGTGGAACAGTGAAAAGGAATAGAAAACATATGCCAAGGTTCAGTAGAGGCAGTGTTGAAGGTGCAGTGCAAGTGTTTCATGCTAATGACATGGTACTGACATGACAAACGGAATGTGACATTGCTGTCAACCATCTACAGAAACGAGATGGTACAGACAAAGTGAACAGGGAGACCAATGAACGCATTATAAAGTCAGCTGCTGTCATGGACTATATAACAATATGCGACTAGTTGACAAGTGTGACATGATGATAGGGTTCGTTGACTATGTGCGTAGGAGTCGCAAGTGGTATATAGAACTTTTTTCACCTTGTAGACATTGCAGTGCTCAATGCATTCAATATGTACGAAATAAAGACTGGAAAACGACAACGTTTTGCAGAATTCTCCCTGCATGTTGTAAAACAGATAGCAAGAAAGTATGGTACCACACCTGTACCTGCACCTCAACAGTGAATTGTCCCACAACCAGAGCCAGTGGGAGAAGTGCCAGACCGAATCATCCCTAACTGCCACTACCTGGTACCAATACCACCTACCCCAAAGAATAATTCCCAGAAAAAGTGTGTTGTGTGTGCTACCACCACAAAGTGACCCCAACAGCAGAAGGGGACACTATTCAGGTGTCACCAGTGGGGTGGCAGGCAGCCTGGCTGGCTGCCAGCCAGCCTGCCTGCCATCCACCACCATCCATCAATACCATCCACCACCACCATCCACAAATACCATCCACTACCCCCACCATCCACCAATACCATCCACCATCACCACCATGGTATCTTATTTCACAGTCGCACTTAATAAACAAGCACCAAACAATTAATTAATTGTGAAATGTTTAAATGAGCGGCAGTTTAGTGTTCACTCAAGCATCAACAAAGCCAGACTGGCTCATGAGGGGACGCGGGCAGAGCGGGCTGGCAGACAGGTCCAGTACCCGGCAGTTCAAAAGACAGGGCGAGTTCGATAATTGGGGCAAAGTTGGTTTGAAAAAAGTGGTTAAAACTCGAAGAGCTCGATAAGCGATGCGTTCAAAACTCGAAGAGTTCGATACATGATGCATTTGAAACTCGGGGTTCCACTGAATACGTTTGGACCATTTAGGAGTTAAAAAACTTTTTTTATTTTTCAAAATATTTGGAGCGCCACGTGAGTGAATGTAGATCTACGTTTGGACAGTTTAAGGGGTAAGGGATACAGACTGAAAAATTCAAACCCCAAAGAGGACCTATATTACTCAGGAGAAAAAGGCACTGCCAGGACACAAGCCTATGAAAGACAGGCTAACGCTTTTGTCCTGTGCTAACGCAAGTGGGGATTTTAAAGTGAAGCCTTTACTGGTGTATCACTCAGAAAATCCCAGTGTTCAAGAAAAACAATGTCATCAAGAATAAATTGTGTCTTGTGGAAAGCAAATAATAAGGCATGGGTCATGAGGCAAATTTTCAAAGAGTGGGCCCACGAAATGTTTGGCCCCAGTGAAAAAATACCTCATGGAAAATAATTTGCCACTCAAGTGCCTCCTGGTAATGGACAATGCTCCTGCTCGTCCTCCAAACTTGGAAGACATACTGTCTAGGGACTTCAGTTTTATAACAGTTAAGTTCTTGTCTCCTAACACTACTCCTCTCCTCCAGCCCATAGACCAGCAGGTCATTTCTAACTTCAATTAACTCGAAACCAAAGCAGTGTTTAAAATGTGCTTTGAAGTGACCTCAGACACTCAGTTGACCCTAAGAGAGTTCTAGAGGAAGCACTTCAGTATCCTCCATTGCATAAGCATTATAGGTTAAGGCTTGGGAGAGAGTGACTTCCAGGACTTTAAACTCTGCTTGGAGACAATTGTGACCACAATGTGTTGTCCAGAGGGATTTTGAAGGGTTTGAGGCTGACCCTGACTCTACCGACTCCCTGCCTGTTGTGGAAGGTATTGTGGCATTTGGCAAGCTTATGGGATTGGAGGCGAGTGGTGAGGATGCGGAAGAGTTGGTGGAGGACCACAGGGAAGAGCTAACCACTGACGAACTGCAAGAGCTTCAAGTGGAACAGCACCACAGCTGAGGAACTTGCTTCAAAGGAGGAGGAGGAGGAGGAGGAAGAGGGAGTGAAGGAGGTGCCTTCTTCAGTGATTAAGGACATGTGTGCAAAGTGGAATGGGTTGAAAACTTTTGTTGAAAAGTATCACCCTGACCAAGCTGAAACAAGCCATATCTGCAACATGTTCAGTGACAAAACCTTGTCCTACTTCAGGGAAATCTTAAAGAGATGCCAGAAACAGAGCACTCTTGACGGTTATTTTGTGCGACAGGGGTCCAGTGACCCTCAAGCTGGTCCTAGTGGCCTTAAAAGACAAAGAAGGGTAGTAACCCCATATAAGGACTTGTTACCTAGCCTTTATGGAAGGAGATTACCCTTCGAAACAATAAGTCCTCTCTTTTTTTCTTCTCCCTATCTTCCAGATGCGAGCAAGTCTCTTCAATAAAGTTAAGTAAATGTTATTTAGTGAAGGGATTCAGGGAAACCGGTTATTTTCATATAGTCGGACTTGAGTCTTGGAAATGGGAAGTACAATGCCTGCACTTTAACCCTTTCAGGGTCCAAGGCCCAAATCTGGAGTCACGCACCAGTGTCCAAGAATTTAAAAAAAAAACATTTGTTATTTTTTCTTATGAAATCGTAGAGAATCTTTTTGTGAAGGTAATAAAACAAAAAGTACGAAATTTGGTGGAAAATTGACGAAATTATGCTCTCGCGAATTTTGATGTGTCAGCGATATTTACGAATCGGCGATTTTGCCGACTTTGACTCCCATTTTAGGCCAATTACATTATTCCAATCAACCAAATTCTTAGCTATTTCACTAGTATTACTTCTATTCTATCGATTGAGCACAAGAAATCGCCAAGTCAACTGTTTCAACTACAAAATAAAGTGATCGGAAATTGTTAATTTGGCCAATTTAACACAAAGTTCAAAATATTCCAATTTCAAAATAGGGTCCAGAATGAACAATGTAGGCATTCCTGGCACTAAACTAACATTTCCTCTGTTCATTAGTTATGTTTTGAGGCTTTACAAATAAATTCCATTTTGATTTTTTATTCACAATGAATTTTTATTCACACCAAAAAATAGAAGATTTACTGTTATGCAATACTGTAATAATTGTATAAATATCATCACCATATTTGTGAATGTATATTAGACCCACCAGCTGACGTGTATTAGATCTGCGAGGTCGTTTGTTTACTCTTGAATATCGGCAAAAATTTAACATTTCTGCTACTTTGAGCTCAGTTTCAAGCCATTTCCAGTGCTAAAACCAATCAAAATCATCTCTATTTCTGTAATATGTCTTCCATTCTATCAAATGAGACCAAGAAATCGCAAATACAAATATAAAAAACATACGAAAAAAAATCACTGCAAAGTTGCTGTTTTAATCGAAAAATCATGATTTCATTTTTTTTCTCTCATTATACACAATGTGCTGCAGGATCTGTTTTATGTGGTGCACACATACCACATAGATGTATTCTCTCATATCTAGGCCCAAATGTACCACTCACAGTTTATCAGAGTGAGCTGAGCTCATGGCGTAGATCTACGGTTTGGACCCTGAACGTAAAGCCGTAGATCTACGGGACGGACCCTGAAAGGGTTAAAGGAGGGGTTTGGGATATTGGCAGTTTGGAGGGATATGTTGTGTATCTTTATATGTGTATGCTTCTAGACTGTTGTATTCTGAGCACCTCTGCAAAAACAGTGATAATGTGCGAGTGTGGTGAAAGTGTTGAATGATGATGAAAGTATTTTCTTTTTGGGGATTTTCTTTCTTTTTTGGGTCACCCTGCCTCGGTGGGAGACGGCCGACTTGTTGGAAAAAAAAAAAAAAAAATGTTATTTTAAATGTTTATTTAAATTTAAATTTATCTATTATATAATATATATATATTTGTGTGTGTTGTTTGTAAAACTAAAGTTCTTTAAAAAATGTATTTTTTGTGAATATTTTTGTGGGTCTGGAACAGATTAATCGTAGCATATACATTATTTCTTATGCGAAATATTGCTTCGCCTTTTGGCCGTTTTGAGTTTAGGCCTAGCTCCTAGAATGGATTACAGCCGAAACTCGGGGCTCCACTGTATTAACTAGGTGGATCTGGAAAATTCCAAGATTTAAAAGGAGTCATCTTACTTGAAAATGTTTTGGGAACCACTGCTAAAAAAGACATGAAAAACTCGTTTAAGAGAGAAAAGGCACATGTACTACCAGCACCTCTGAAAACCACCAAGTGCCCTGCCAACACATGTGATGAGAAAAACTAGTCAGCCAGAACAGAGTCCTAGAGGTGGAATGTACAGTACATGCACTATAAAGGAGATGTAGATGTTGCAGTTCAGGTCATTTGAACTGCAATGTCCACCCACTTCTGACAAAACAGCCAGAAGAAAAAACCTGATAGTGCAAGACAGCACTTGTTCATTTGCTTCATTCATCAAAACCTTCACATAGGACTTGCTTAGTATAGGCCTACAGGCCTGCTGCAGTGTTCCTCTTTTATATAAATTTCTTGACAATTCTCCATTTACCTTAACTATAATTTTCAGTATTTTGTGATCTATATTTTGAAGAAGTGAAGCTAAATAAATGATCAATACATTTTGTAGAATGCTTTTAAAAAGATAACTGAAGTTTTTTTTAAGTCATTACAACACCTGGGAAATGAGAAATAATGAGTTAGACAAAAATATTAAAATTATAAAACTAGAACAATATCTCAAACATACCTTTAAGCAAGCCTGAATATTTTCGGGATCATCATCACAGTTGAAAATATTCACATGTGTCCAAAACTTGAGCATGCCTCCATTAATTTCAGACCTTTCATCATTTGGAAAAACACAGGCAACAGGGTCAAGAGATTCATTCATTGTCACTAGATCCACAAGCCATACTAACATAGCTAACACTGATGGCCAGGTGTGTGGGGAACCAACTGCAAGTAAAGTAAACTTATTAGTATTCACTCTGGATAATGTTATTTTCTTGCATTTTAATCATGCCAAAGCAGTTACTGTACTATGGTGGTATATTCTACTCAAAAGATGGTGTATACTGCATCATCCCAATCTTTTTTTAAATTTTAATATAGAGGCATTAAAATCTATTTTCGAGAGATGGTAAATATAGCAACAGACAACTTCCTACAAGACTGCCTGGCCGAGAAGGTGATCCCTAAGTCTACTCCTGCGCAACTCTCCAACTCCAAACACCCTTTCTATCTACCCAAGCTTACTTAACTGAATGTGCCGAAGAACTTTCTAACATCGCTAAGGAAACCTTTGAAACTGCAAGGAGTATGAGGGCCAATCTTCAAATTGACCAACACACTACTGAGCATATTCTCAGCACAGTCACCACAGCCAACCTCCAAAAGAAGATCAAACTCATTCACCAACTTCAGTACCTCTGCTCTAACAGCCGATGAAAGGAAATGGGATGGGAATCCCTGATAAACAACCTATCGTCACGCACCTTAACTGACTACGAGAAACAAGCACAGAGTCTGGGACTCAAATTTACCACTAACATACGCAAACCTAACTATAAACTCAACTAGTTACCAGAAACCATAGACACAGTGACAGTGACTTCCAGAAGGGTTATATACAGGGCATTCTAACTGCAGCTTTATGTGAACCACCTTCTTATCTTCCTAGACTATATATCACTGCCCTTAAGGATCTTGCCAACGACCCCAACATTACTGTCACCACCGCCGACAAAGGGTGTGGAGCCGTCATACTCAGCACTAGTGACTAGAACACCAAAATGATGGACCTTTTGAATGATCAGTCTACATACGAACCCATCAGCACTCAACAGTGGGAGACACTCACCAAAGATTTTCTATACAAAACCAGACAAATACTCAAACGCACTAGAGAAGGGAAGAAACTTCTATACTTGTTACCCAGCAATCTTTAACCAGCACACATGTATGGTTTACCCGAGACCCATACACAAAATATTTCTCTCAGACCAATCACGTCAGGTATAGGCAGTGCATCATACAAACCAGCCGGAGTTCTTGCCAAACATCTTTCCTACCTTCTGGGGACCATCAGCCCCGCTCATCTTAAGCATTCAGGCAACCTTCTCAACCGCATCCGAAACCCCTCCATCCGTAACAAGAAACTAAGCAGTTGGACGTGACTTCCCTCTTCACTACAGTACCTACCACATAAGCCATCGAGGTTCTACTACGTAATGTCAATCAGAACCCTAAGGGAGGGGCGAGCAGAATCACAGACTTTTTTTTTTTGTCAGATTTCAATGGGATTGTGACAGTGGATTAAGCAGCTGCTGCATTTGTTTTGACTGTTAGCCTTTAAGTTAGACAGCAAAAAATTATTTGTGCACAATTTTATGGGTCCTAGGACTTTCCACTTTCTACTAAATTGGGAAGATGTACAATGCTCTAGTTGACATCAGATGAAAGATAAAGGCTAGATTAACCCTTTGAGGGTCGACAGGCCCTCTCCGAAACTCGTTCTCAGGGTCGGCCAAATTTCAAAAAAAAAAAAAAATTATTTTTTCTTATGAAAAAATAGAGTTTTTTTTTCTAAACATTATAGGATAAACAAAAAAATTTTACCATCAATACTTACGGAGATATGGATGCATGAAGTTTGCAGAAAATGAGCCGCGTATGGCAACAGCGGCGACTGCCGCTCACCCGGTAAACTTTGATTTACTTGTATTTGAAGGTTTATTGTTTTTTTCACTATTTTATTTTTTCACATAACTTATGTGGCCTATGAGACCAAAGTAAGGTGCAATGTACATATATACACTCGTTGTATACAACACAATAAGCACACAAACATAATTATCAATATATTGTTTACAAAACTTGTTTACAAAAACAAACAATACAAAACATTGTTTATTATTATTGTTCTATAATATATATACCAATATACAGTCACTGAACATATTCCTATTAGTTCTGCAGCTTGTGGAACTCTGAAACATGGTGTCATACACAATGGTGTTTTATCTTTCTCCCTCATTCTATCTCTTTCAATCTGTCTCTCTCTTTCTGTCTATCTCTGTCTCACAGGTACACATAAATACAAGTATACATAGTATAAATTACCTAGGATAACCCAAGAAACCCAGACAAAGTGCTATACTCGGCTTGAAGATGTGAGTAAAAGTGATGACGCAGTCTTGTGGCTCTCTGAGACAGAGAGCTAGATGGATAGACAGGGAGCTTGACAGACAGGCAAATAGATAGACAGAAATGTTAGTATACCAGCAAAAACAAAGGGAGGGCGATGTTCATCTCATCTTTTGGCATCAGCTCTACCCTCATTTACCCTCATCAAACGTCAGCACTTATCAGATGTTATCTCCCCTTATCTTGTTACTGTCATGGGTGAACATTTATTACATATTATTATTATTACCTATTATTATTATGTATTATTATTATTATGTATTATTATTATGTATTATTGTTATCATTACGTATTCTTCTTCTTCCTCCTCCTCCTCCTCCTCCTCTTCCTCCTCCTCCTCCTCCTCTTCTTCCTCCTCCTCCTCCTCCTCCTCCTCTGCCTCCTCCTCCTCTGCCTCCTCCTCCTCTTGCCTCCTCCTCCTCTTGCCTCCTCCTCCTCTGCCTCCTCCTCCTCTGTCTCCTCCTCCTCCTCCATTCATGGAACAAGTTTGAAGAGCTTGTAGTTCATAATCACTATCACTATCATCACCAATGCTCACATCTGAGTCTGGGATTTTGGAAAATAGGAGTTTCCTCTTTGATTCTGGTACAACTGAACTTGAACAAGATGGCCCAGCACCAGAGGTGGAAGGCTGTGGGTTGTCTGGGTTTTCCTCACTATTACCCATATTATGGTCATTAGTTTCGGTCAAAACCTCACCAGAACCTTGAAACTCATCTTCACTGTCACTTCCATCTGTATTAGAACTGTCACTGGGGAACAAAAGTGTCCCAATTCGCCGAGGAGTGAGGAACTTCTTACCGCAGGGCACGTGGAAATTGTGTACTATGATGGCATTCCCACAATGCACCACTGGGTCCCAGATTTTTTTCCTACTGCGCACACCCACCACACAGACCCATTCTCTCACATCTAGGCTTATCAGCCTATTCCTGCGAGATTTGAGGCCGCTAGAATTTATGCGTACTAGTACGTCAAAAACCCCTACGCGTAAGACGTACTAGTACGACGAAAACCCTCAAAGGGTTAATAATGACCCAGGACAGTTTAGCGATAATGTCATAAAAAAATGTTGAAGTTAGTATTTTTGTTTTTATTTTTTTTTGTGTAAAAAAAAATCATTAAAAACAAAGCTGTAAACAGTATCACAAATCCTCTCTGGGTGCTTGTAGAACCATCATTCCTCAATAATGTCTGCAAAAATCATGACAATCCTATTAATATTTATCGCAGGAGAGAGATTACAGTGTCATTAACTTATTTCTGGTTCATTACTGATTTTGTTTGGTGTGAAACTCTACAGCTACCGCCCGCCAAATCTGAGCGTGTTGCATCCCTCCTTGCTTGTTGACAGCCTGCCGGCTACTGAGGCAGACACTGATCGAGCTCCACACTCTAGCTAGCACAGATGATGCCATGTTTTATTTATTTATTTATTTATTAATTTGAAAACGATACAGTGAAGTACAAAGTTATACAGTGCAACAGGCCAAAGCCCCTTGTATGCAGAGCATCATGAGCAGGCTTAAAATTAACTTAAGATTAACTAAATTAGACACATGTGCAACTCTTGGGTATCTTTACTGAGGAAACGTTTCGCCACACAGTGGCTTCATCAGTCCATACGTAGGAGAAACTTGAACAGGAGGAGAATGAGGTAATTAGTCCCTCAACCTTGAGTCGATGTGTTCAGTCCATCAATCTTGAATAGAATACGGCATATGAGCGGAGAAGCAGATTATAAACCGTATGGCAGGAGAGGTGCAGCAGTCATAGGTGGTGTCACATTTGTTCAATGTGGGACCTTAATACTTAGGAATTCTTCGCTTGCCTAATTCTTGGGCACGACCTACTTCCACATTGAACAAATGTGACACCACCTATGACTGCTGCACCTCTCCTGCTATACGGTTTATAAGCTGCTTCTCCGCTCATATGCCGTATTCTATTCAAGATTGATGGACTGAACACATCGACTCAAGGTTGAGGGACTGATTACCTCATTCTCCTCCTGTTCTTCAAGTTTCTTCTACGTATGGACTGATGAAGCCACTGTGTGGCGAAACGTTTCCTCAGTAAAGATACCCAAGAATTGCACATGTGTCTAATTTATCAACATGTCGGTTCTCTGAACCATTCATCTACAAAGATTAACTAAGCAATGACATATTCAGTGGTAAATACATTACTGTAAACAGATAACAATTTAGCACAAATGAGTATTACAGACAGGTCATATGGTCATTTACTGTGTTGCTGAGCATTCAGTAGATTGGAGTATTCTGTTAGGTAATGTAATTAAAAAATAAAGTTTGATTGGGTCACAGGTTAGACATTTATGAGATACAATAATGAGAAACATTTACGAGACAATTTATGAGATACAATTATTCAGTATTTATTTAGTTGTGGGTGAGTAAGTGATTTTTGAGAAGAGACTTGAATTTATAAACAGTGTTTCTTTTATATTCACAGGTAATGAATTCCAGATTTTAGGGCCTTTTATGTGCATTGAGTTTTTGCATAGCGTGAGATGGACTCGAGGAACATCAAAGAGTGATCTGTGCCTTGTGTTATGGTTGTGTGTTCTGGTGAGGTTGGTAAGGAGACGTTTGAGGAGAGGGTTTATATCAGAATTAAGTGTTCTATGAATGTAGTAGGTGCAGTAATAAGTATGGATGTTTTGAATGGTGAGTAGGTTTAGAGTTTTGAATATTGGTCGAGTGTGCTGCCTGTAGTGGGAATTTGT